GCACCGTCGGGGCAGCAGCCTCCGCGGCCGCCCGCCTCCCCGGATGAGCCGTCGGTGGCAGCATCGTCGGTGGGCAGCAGCCGCCTGCCACTCAGCGCCTCGCTCGCCTTCTCCGACCTCACCGAGGAGATGCTGGACTGCGGGACCGGCGGCTTGGTGCGGGAGCTGGAAGAGCTGCGTTCCGAGAACGACTATCTCAAGGTGGGGACCTAGAGGGGAAGGGGAGTCGCAGGGTTTGGGGAGGAGGACCTGCCACCCTGGCTCAAGAGCCCGAGGCCCTGAGGCCCTGAGGCCACAGCCGGTCGGTCACTTTAACACTGAGCAAGCAGGGAGAGTGCCCCCACCTTCTTTTCCTACTCTTCTCCTGAGGGGGATCTTGGATAAGATACTGACTAAAGGACCCCGGTGTGCACCCTCCTCCCCTTTAGAGGATGCTCGGTGTGTCCAGGGGCGGGGGATAGTCAGCCATAGCTGACCTCTGCTTTAAGCAGCCCAGGACACCGCCCCCGGGAAAGCGGGCCTTCCTTGGATCCCCTCTCTGGGGCCAACATTGATGTTGTCTGGCTGCCAGGGAAACCGTGGCTATTCCCTGGCAAGGAGAGCCAGAACACCATCCTTAGTCCTTACCCAGGGCTTCCCCGGCAGGCCTGTCCTCGCCTGCCTTTTGGGGCGGGACCAGTTTGAAAGCATGACATCTGGGAACATCCCCTTGGCTGGAGTCCACTTCCGCCCAGTCTAACGGTCCCACAGCCTGAGAGGATGATGTCGTGGGAGAACTGGTTCAGAGGCCACTTCCTCAATCCCAGGATATTGTCTTCTGTCCCTTCTGAGAGAGGCGTGGGCATTCATGGCCGGTGCTCCCGGTGTGAGGAGGGAAGCTTCCCTCTTGGATAGGGGTATTCCCTTTGTGCGTGTGGGACTGCAGAGCTAGCTGCCTGGGAAGAAAAAGCGGCCGTGCCTGGGCACCTAGGTGCAGCCCGTGCTCTGGCTGCCTGTCCCCTGACACGGTGGCAGCTATGGGGACAGCCCTGCCCTGGCTTCTTGACCTTGGTGTGGGAAGCTGGAATCTTCATGGGCTGTACTGCTGGAAGAGACTGCAATGTTGTCTGCACTTGTCTGCTGATGGCCTGGCACGACACCCAGAGTGCCCTGGCCAGCAGCCATGGAGTTGACGGCACTCTAATGACATGTCTGCCCTGCAGCACTTAGCTGCCTCTCCTGGTTCTACTGTCTAGAAGGGTTTCTTCTTCCTTAGCCTGTTGGGGTGTTCCGCTTGCTCTCCTTTGGATCCTCTGTCCCACGTGTTCTCAGTAAACTCCTGTACACTAGAGAACATGGGTCCATCTGAGAAATGGTCATCTGCTACCTGTTCCTAGCCGGAACCTCCCTCAGGCCAGGCTTCCATTCTTTTTCTGTTAAATGGGAGTATGAGTCTTCACAAAGGCTTCACTCGTGTTGACCATTGGGGGTTCAGTCAGTTTGTGGAGGGTAGGAGGATGGAGACAGCCTCCTGGATGCTCCTGGAAGCTTCCTGTGTTCCCAACCTGAGCTATTCCAGACGTGGACCTGACTCCAGCAAATGAGGACAACTCGTAGTTCTTGATTTGGTTTCTTCCTGCCCCTATCCTGGATCCCTTCCTGTGCTCCAGGAAGTGGTCAGACAGAGCCCTGAACTCCATCTGAAACCACCCATGAGTATGCAGATGGGAAAGTGGTCCCAGGGGCCTTCGGAGCCTTTGGGTTGAGCCTAGGTTCTCCTAGAGACCAGGACCCACCTGGGAACATTCCATTTTGGGGTCAGGTTGAACCTCGGTTTCTACCATCCATTTGTAGTTGAGTCTTCATGCACAAGCTTTGGGCCACTGCTGGATCTGTAGCTTCTTGACTGTGTGATCTTGGGCACATTACTTCCCATGACTGGACCTGAGTTTTTCTCATCTTAAGAATTAAACAATTACACACAGGTCATCCTTAAAGATTAAAAGTGCACGTAGCTAGCGAGCACTTGGCGCTGTAGATTTCTATCCTGATGTCACTTGCTGCTCTCAGGATAGAGACCTTGTGCATCTGTCAAATTCTTTTGTGGCTTCTGTGGGAGCTGGCTGGGCTCTTCCTCCTGACCTTGAATCCATCACTCACTCACTCACTCACTCACTCACTCACTCACTCACTCACTCACTCACTCACTGTTTGCTTAGAGCTCAGCAGCATTGTGCAGATTTGGGGGAGTAACTGAACTAGGGAGAGCCTCTGGAGAGACAGAGTTAAACAATAGTCAACTGAGCACAGTGTGGCCGGTGAGGAGGGTGAGATGGCTAACCTCTCCAAGAGCACAGGGGTGAGGCTGGGGACTCCGGGAGGCCACAGGGGTGAGGCTGGGGACTCGGGGAGGCCGGGAGCTGAGAGAGGATGGAGCCAGCAGAATAAGGGGCTGTAGTGGAACATTCTAGGCTGAAGAAAGCTGAGAAGGTGTTGGGCGAGGAAGGGAGCCACGCTGACTCTTGTTGCGCACATTCGGGCGGTAGCCACACTGCTCCAGGCGGCCAGGGCGGGGAGGAAGAGAGCATCAGTCTCCTGTGTGTTTCCTGCCTCTCTGAGCCTCTTTGCATCTGAGGTGTAGAAGCTGGGTAGGAAGGAAAATGACTCCAAGTCCCCAGCATATCCACTGCAGCCTGACCATATGAGTGGAAGGGAACGCCCTGGACTCCAGGTGGCCTGTTCAGGGTCACCTTTCAGTTTGTGTGGGTGCTAGGGGTGTCGGGGTGGGGGTAACTGTCAACCAGGAAGGACCCTTGGGTGACTGCGTATCCCCCGTCCCATCTCTTGAAGTCTTGTTCTGGGGCCTGGGTGAGGGAGGTGCAGCCTCTGCCAGTGATAAGACAAAAAGCGCTTCTTCCGGGAAGGTGGTGAGCTTGGTGTCCCTGGGATTCTTCAGAGAGAGTGGACACAGGCGTTGGGTTTGTCGGGAGCATTGTGTAAATGGTCCTGAGTGTTGCTTGTCACCACTGGGGAGCAACTAGGGAGACAGGCATGGTGGTTACAGTGGAGCTGTCCGACCTGGGGTCCCTTCTGGTCAAGGACCCTTTCTGGTCAAGGTGCCTGAGGGTTATCTGCTGGCGTTTTCAGGACCCAGGAATACACGGCTTTAGCCAGGTTAACTGTGTTTGACTTTCAAAGCCCCAGTGATCTAAAGTACCTGTGACCACTAACTGTTACCCATGTGCCATGGGTATCTCAGTACTGGAGCTAGCTTTGAGACCTGATTCTACCATTGACTGTGTGGTCATGGGCAAGTGGCCGGGCGCTCTGAGCTGCTTTTGTTTTTTTCATCTGTCTGATGGAGATGGTGGGGTGTGCCTGGACAGTCTCCAAGGATTGTTTTCAGCAATCAGGGAGATGTGAACAGTCAGGAAAACATCTCGTAAAGCGAAGTCCTTGTGTCTCGTGAGGAATTGTTATGATTCTGAGCCAATGAGCAGACAGGATGTCTGTGTGTTCATTCTTGGAGGAACTGGGAGGAGCCGGGGGGTGGAGGGTGGGTTTCCTTAGCCCTTGAGTGTTAATACATTGGGTGCTGCTTCAGGGGGGACAGGAAGGCATGATCATATTTCCCACTGCACAGGTAGGTAGCAGAGAGCCAAGGCACCCTACTAGGGTTCCAACTGTGAGTTATAGATACCGCTCACAAGGGCCCGGAGAAAAACCCTTCACTGACTGGTGATGGACAAGTGGAGGCTCCAGGATTCCCTTACAGCCAGCATTCCAGCCTTGCTGTTCTGTCTTGGTCCTGTTCCGTCTGCCATGTGGCCGGCATGATTGAGCTTTTGGTTGCTACTGACATGTCTGGTCATGGATGGAGGTTGGTGAGAGGAATCCTGTGGGCCAGGTGCCAGGCTAAGATTTGTAGGGAGCAAATGGTGAGTAAGCTCAGTTGCGGGAGTGTTTGCCTCTCATACACAAAACCTTGGGTTCCATCTCTAGACCCGCAGAAACCAGACATGCCTGTTATCCTGGCATTCAGGAGGCAGAGGCAGAAGGGCCAGAAGTTGAAGGCCATCCTCAGCCACATAGTGAGTTCAAGGCCAGCTTAAGCTAAGACTGGGTCTCAAAAGCAAAAAACTCAAAAGGCTGATATCCAAGCCTGCCGGTGGGGGTGTACCTCTAGGGGGATCACTTCTGTAAAATGGGGGTTCAGTGTGTCATGGACCTCTTGATTGTGAAGGTGCGTGTCCATTGCTTCAGCCCCGGCATGGCCCTTTCCTCTCTCTTCCCTTCCTCTGATGTCATCCAGAGTCTTCTGAGTGCTAGGCCTCCGGCAGTTCTGCAAAACTCCTGAGAGGCATGGGAGGGACCCAGTCTGTCCCATGTCAGCAAAGTCCCCTGAGTCACAGCTTCTAGCTGAGGGGCAGGGCTTGGGGGCTGGGGGAGCAGCTCCAGCAGAGAGAAAACGAGGTGGCTGGGGAGATCGCAACGCTCAGCGTGCTTTACAAGGAAAGCTTTACATGCAGAGCTCAAGCCCAGAGACCCGCAGCTGTTCATGCCTGGCTGATGTACACATTCAGTGACTCACTTACGCTCTATGCTTCCAGAGGCCAGCCTCCAGGCACAGTCACTGTGGATCTGCATGGAAAGCAGTGTACAGACCCGTGCAGATAGACCCTTCGTGCCACACACTGCCGAACACATCACATATCAGCAGGAGAAACACACCCTTCTACACACAGCCTGGACACACCCTCAGACACTTAGGAAGTCCACATACATGTGAAGGTGTGCACACAAATACACACAGACATTATCCACACATACCAGCAGCCCTGGGAACCCAGGGACATCCTTGACAGGTGACATTAGTCACTGGCTTACTTACCCAGATACCCCGAACTGCCCCTTCCTCAGAGAGCAACCGACCCTTGCACATGTACCTGGGGCTCCACAGATTTCAGGTGGGTACGAAGAGCTTCACAGATATAGGATGGACACAAACCTTCATACCCATTAGCAGAGACACAAAGGCTGACCATGCAGATGTCAGACATGGTGTTTGCCTAACCAGGGCACCCAGACATGCACGGTCGGTCACACACACACACACACACACACACACACACACACACACACACACACACGTCCACTTACACTGACTGTGACATTTCACCTACACACATAAACACAGGAAGACTTGGTCAATGTGTCCGTCC